AGCCTAGGGAAAAAAATGTGTTTCCTGTTTCAGTCCTGAAAAAAATTTGGGTCAGTAGGTAGGGATTATCTTCTTTTCTTTCTTTCTTTTAGACTAAATTGGCGATCTCTAGCGATACAGTCTTAAAAAAGAGTAAAACTTGCATAAGGGCACTTACAAAATGTATATTTTCAATGTCAATGTTGGACAACCAATTGTACAACATTTCATCACTCGGGTGTCAGATTATGGAGCTAAAAAAGATCATTCAGCTCGAAATATTCAATTCCCTTTTTGGGGTCCACACAAAGAAGGCTAGGGTCGGCAGTTTTTTTTAGGGTTGGTCAGGAAACAGAAAACACAACATTTTTTTTTCGTACTCCCCAAAACCCAGTGCAGTTCCGCGAGCAGCTTCTTTATTACTATTCACGTCGGTGCTCTGATTTCACGGTTGGGTACCGATGAACCGCGAAGCAGCCGGTTCGTGAATCGTGTCTTTTGTTGCCTCCCAGTTGGCGCATGAAACCTGCCATCGCTGGGCACACTTCTAATTATTGAACCAGGAACTCATAGGCCCCACTACGGAAAAACTGATATATGTACTGCACAACCAGGCACTCACAGGCCCAATAGTACTCTAGCCATCACCCGTTTTTCCATCAAAAAAAATTTAAAACCAATCCATCAATTGACAAATCTTGGATAAAAATATAATAACAACCAAAGAACCAGAAACACCCACTCTCATAGTCTCAACCTCATAATTTGCCTCTCAAAATGTAGGAAACTGCATTTTTAAAAGCTTGAAAATCTCAAACTTGCCCACGGACCCCCCTAGATTGCGAGCACACCCCCCCTGGTCCTATCATGAACCTAGGCTGACAAAAGAAACATTTCGAGCTGGCCAGAGCACACTTCTAATTACCGGGTGCATTCATAGGCCCCACTACTGGGACCAATCCTCCCCTAGAAAAACTGATACTGCATAACTGATCACATGCCATTCAATAGAGGGCGACAACTCAATGGTATCTGACTTTCAAATCACAGAAGTAGGTCTTGTGTGAATAGACATAGACATATGCAAGAATCATGAACAACTACTGCATGTGTTGAAACTAGTGTTCTAGCCAGCCTGCAATTTTTTTGTTATCTCAATTTAGATTGACCTAACATAACATCAAGTGGCAAAGGTGCAAGATGCAACAATCCTAAGGGAGTCCAGAGTGTATGCTCCCCCTTTTTTGAAACCCTGACTCTCTGAAATGATATTTCTTGTATTTTCAGGGGGCAAATTTTGCTGATAGTCTAACCTTAGTTTAAACGCATCTCTTTTCCTACCTTCACCCGCTGATTTTTGTCTATCAAAGATGACAGATTGGACAAATTTTGGTCTGTCCTGAGCAGCAAAAATTCCTTCACATGATGGCAATAAAGAGGGATGCTGGCTAGAACACTGGTTGAAATGCAGCTAGCCATGTATGTACAGCGTGTGCTATGTATGTACCACTGTAATTTGACAGATTGGGTAAATTTGGGTCTGTCATATGAGCAGCAAAAATTCCACCAAATGATGGAAAGAGGGACACTGACTAGAACATTGGTTGAAACGCATCTAGCCAAAAATGGCGAGTGTTATATACATGTACATGTATGTACCACCATAATATGACTGATTGGGCAAAATTTGGGTCTGTGACAAGCAGCAAAATGAAGGAAAGAGGCTAGAACACTGGTTGAAATGCATCTAGCCAAAATGGCGGGTGTTATATATGTACCACCATAATTTGACAGATTGGGCAAAATTTGGGTCTGTCAAAAGCGCAGAATTCTGTCGAATGAAAGAAAGAGGCTAGATCACTGGTTGAAACCCATCTAGCCAAAATGGCGGGTGTTATATATGTACCACCGTAATTTGATTTCGCCACGCCGAAGCCACGCTGGGCGCGAGACAAACACATGCTTCACAGCTCCGACGCAAATTTTTCACAGATGTGCGGGTAATCCCGCATTATGCTCCGGAGAGACGCGGACTGGAACAAATTGCGCAGTACATACACCTGCTGTACACGCAATAATTTCATTAGCGACAGGGAGGCGCATTATTGAAAGTCATCTACTGTGAAGAGCAATGTTGTATAATGCTCCCCCGTAATGTATAATGTGCAGGACGCTTCCTGAATGGAAAATTAGCCGAAGCTAGGGACAACAAAGTTGCTCCCAGTTGGCTGGAACACTGTACATTTATACCGCATATATTCTACTAACTTGATCCTGATAGGCCAAAAAAACAACTGGATATGATTTTCGAACGGTTTTGACGTTTCAGCTAGCATCCACTACCATTCGTCAGTGATACTTGCTGATAGCTTTGTTCAACTGTGAATTTTTATAGATTAAATTTTCTTCCTTACTCTTATATTGTGACCAATCCAACATGAAGCATGTCTCGAAATAAAAAGCTTTTCAGGCAGGCAAAGTTTTGCATGGTCTCCTTTGTAAGCTGTCCCACAATTAACCAAAATAACTCTCATAACTTGTGCTATTTCGCACTCCCTAATAGTAATACACCTCATACTCCAGGTGTGCAAGGGTCAACTATAGGCCCCTAGAGGTTGTCCCTGCAGGGATTTTGGCAGTGCCTGTAGATTTAGTGTGGCAGGAAGTCACCTTCATGGTGGATTGACATACTTTGTGACAGATTACCGAGTTCTGTCACGACACAAGGGCGTGGAAACAGGGCATTTCTCTAAACAGGTTTTACATTTCCTGGGGGAAAACCAACAGATTTTAATGCCAAATTCCTCAGCAGGATTTATTTTGTGAAATTTTGGAGAAGAAAATCGTCCTTTCTGTTTGCAACTTCCACATAAAATGGCGTGAAATGCAGGGCTAGCAATCTGGTAAACTGAATCTTTCAACAGTCAATATACAGAATAATAATTAATATGTATTTTAAGTTACAAGAACAGAAATTCAGACTGCCATCATCTTTCCTTTGTCACATTTGCCTCCCTCTGACATTTTTCAGGTTTCCCAGAAATCTAAACAGATTTACACATTAATTCCTGTATATACAACTTTGCAAAACGACTTTCAAACACCGAATATATCTCACCATCACCAAATGTCAGTCAAAAATACAACAAAGATACAAAAAAAAGGTTCTTCGCCTTGGGGCAAAATATCAGGAGTCGCTTCCCTAATTTTCCACCATTACCTAATGGCCCTGAAATCCCCAATCCCGAAAGCTGATCCTCTTTCCCCATTAGTATCCATAGCGAGGGTGGCACAATTAAATTTCCCCCGGCGTAATATGTCAACGCTGCACGCGGGAGGCGAATACAGAACGCGTAATAAGGTTACGTGACTACCGGGTATTTTTACTGGCATTGTGTTATCGGTGGAATGAAATTAGAATTGATTCTGGGACGTCACTGCATTCTTACATGCAATGACCTCCCCCATTATACGTTATCCTTGCAGGCGTGGTACATTTGAAAAGACGTCCGAACGACGCTTTAGAATTTGTTGTGACGTCCCAACTCACCACAGAGCCAAGATACATGTACACAACAACGAAACAAAGTTAGCTTTCCACAAATTGAGATATATGACAAGAGACTTGTCCACAAGATTCAATTAGTATCGATTGCTGGCAAAGTATTCTTACAACAGCCCATATCGCACAAGGTACAACAGGTTAGCCACTCAAAAGTTGGTTATCTAATTTTATCCCCAACGTATTACTCCGGATATAATTCTGTTTTTAGAAATACAAAATTGCAAAAGACACCAGAAGCATATATACCGGTACTTCTAAAAATGCCAAGAAATGATCTGCCAAAGAGTGTATGCCCCCCCCCCCACACACACACAAAATTCTTCAACAAAGAAACGAAGCTCTAATTATGACAGAAAACCTCCATCCCATCGAAGCACAAACAAGATAACCTGTGGAACTGATAAAAGCCTTTCCTCACCGCGCGTAATCTCATTTCTGGAAGCATCTAAGCTCTTGCCGGATGCTGACAACATCATATGCCTGTACAAATCTAATTATATCACTGTACATCAATTGTAATCCAGTCTGCACGTAGACAGTACATGCAATGTAAGAATATTGCACACATTAACAAGGCCCATTTGTTTTTCATGTAATGTTTCACCAGACGATTTGATTGTGAGCTATTCGTGCTGATGACACAAATGTCATGATTATTTTTCCATCTGGAGTTAAGATATCTGAATCATGTCTCTTTTCCAGCTCATTTCTTGTGCCGCATTTCAATCGACGTTAAAATTGTCATTTTCTTTCACAAAGTTGTTGTTGGGGGAAGAGATAAAACTTTTCAAATGCTCATTTTTACCCTTTATATTTAGCCACTCAATTTGTAGCTGGTTGAACAATCACAAAGGTACATGTACGATATTCAAATTGCCACAAGACACACTATCAAAATTGCCACAAGACACACTATCACAAGTAACTGGTTGATACATTTGTTACCTTTGCCACACTTAAGGCACAAACCATTGATTCAATAGCATGCCATGCATCTCGAAAATGCAAATACAAAAACTGGGACCAAAGTCAAATAGGAAAAGGACAGCCTTTTTTTCCTTCAAAATACCATGCCAGCCACTTCATCCACTACAAACATGCTACCAAAACATACTACAGATGCATTTCCAGGTACAATGTAGTTATTAGCACACACATGTACCAGTACATATAAAAAGTTGCCAGCCTTCCTTTCAGCAACTACTTGTGTCATTCTTTTGCGCTCTTCAATACAACCACAAAAACCTTCAACACATCCAAGATAGACTGGATGCAGGGAAGATATTGGAGAAGAAATCACAAAGAACAATCAAAAGGGCTACTAGGTCATTAAAAAATTAGGTTTCATCTTAATTTTAAATACTTAGAATTTACAAATCTTTTCATCCCCTTTTCAGTCTTTGTGGTCTTTCTCTTCAACAACAGTACATCACACAGGCTGTCTTTCATGACTCACCTGAGTGCCTGTTTTTTCTCCACCAGACCACGATGATGAACAGGCACACGAGCAGGAACACAGTGACCGCCCCGACCAGGCTGATGTACAGGGCCAGGTTGTCTTCTGTCCGAGCACTGGCAACTAGAGACAAAAGAAAACCAAGTTGATTTTAGCTTGTGTAGAAAAGTGTTTTTTAATGTTTTGCAGTCAATTTCTGTAATATCACTTCATCAATTCAGCCTTCTGGCCGCGACTGTTGTGATATAGATGATGTCATAATGATAAACCATTCGACCAACTCAATGAACTAAATGTCCTAAAAGATGGGTCATTTGAACGTGACAAAGGCTGCAAGACAAATACATTTGTGTAGCTCAAAATTTAGGGACTAGTTTGTCGACTTGGAATGCAGGCTAGTTGTTTTATCAACAGCTTTTATTATGTCTTTTTAAACTGCAAAAACCTTTCAGAATACTTTCTTTGGGCCATGGGAATCAAGAGCTCCAATTTTAAACTTGTACTGCCAAGGGTGTTTCTATGCACCAAAGTTTTCTTGATTATAGCCCAAATTAGCATGGCTAGGGTTAAGGTTACTTGTAATACTTGTAAGTTGAGTATCATTCAAAAGCAAATATTATGAACAAAGAGGGGAGTTTAAAACAGAAAAAAAAATCAGGAACACAAAACTTACATGTCGGACTATGGGTCTGAATTTGTAGATCACTTTCTTCAGAATCTGTGAGAGAAAACAGCACAACAACAAGAAACAAACCAGGGTCAACAGCATGCAAACGTAAGAATAAGATACAAAGAAATTAGGAAATGCACAACAAAAAGTTACTTTGCAGCTTTGGCCACACAAAGCTATTTCACTCTCTCCTATATCAAAAGAAAAATGATGTTAAACTGGATGAACAGAATGTCATAGTCTGGAAAGTTTTGCCTCCCGTTTTCTCTCTGATTTCAGTTTTAATTCTTGTCTCTCTTGCATTATTTGTACTTTAACATCCATAGAAACATATTTGTGTGGCCTTAAGCTAAAAATCAAGTTAATAAACAAACAATAAAATTGTTGATGATAAAAGATAAAACAAAAGGAAAAAGCCAAAATGTGGCTGTATTTTTTACCTCTACAGAGACCCCCTGTACAATTTCTTGTCTCCATGTTGTCTCCGATGCAGTAGCGACCGCCGAATTGTGGCGGCGGATCGTTACACTCTCGTCTTCTCCAGTTGTTACAATCGCGCCCGCAGGCTGAGAATTTGGACCACTCCGACCAACCTCCATCCACTGCAGAGGACACAAAAGGATCCTTTGTTATTAGACAGGTAGACTGGAAAACTTGATCTTCTAGCAACTTAACATTACAGATTGTTAAGTAGAAAAGTAACATTTGCAAAGCAAACAGTAAACACCATGAAAACATTCATATGGATGGTAACCAGGCCATCCAACTCAGTCCTACCACTTGCTACATAATGTAACCCAACATCACAGGGTGTCTGCTGCAGCACCAGTTACAATGGTAACAGCCATATGGTCGAAGAAGAAGAAACTGAGCAAAAACATAATGTCTTCTTTCTACAAAGGTAAACATAAAAGCCTTTGTACCTAATGAAAAGGACTCTATTGTACTTCATGCCTGTTAGTTTTTTCCACAATAGCTGTAGCAAGTGGTACACATGCCTGCTGTATGGGATTGCTGTATCTAAAAAAAAAGTCGTTGAAAAAATGGAACCCTGTCCTACCTGGACAGAGAGTGGTACACTCCGCGCGCTGTACAGGGTCGCCGTCGCAGGTGTCGCCGCCGTTGAGCGGGGCGGGGTTGGTACAGGTACGGGTCCGACGCATCAGGCCGCGCCCACACTGGCTGTTACACTCGCTCCACGTGCTCCATGTCGACCAACCACCGTTGACTGTGATAGGAAGAGGGAAACAGTATTATTATCATCGTCATCATTGTTTTCTTCATTCTTTATTTCAGGCATCAACGGTCCATATAATTATAAAAGAAAACATACAAATAGAAATACACATACTAACAACAGTTTGAAATTTGACTATGACTATGACTACAGATGGACCCAGACATTGCAGAAGACTCTGTTGCAGAAGTTTACATCAGATTTGAGAACAGATTGGATGGTGTTATTTGAGGAGTTCTACAGACAAGATATGTCTAACATTTGTTGATTCTTTGCTATGCCACAGCACAGAGATCAAAATTTCCAGTTTTGTTGGGAGAAAAAAGGGATAAGATGTAGCTTTTGAATAATAACCGATTTTTCAGCACCAAGGAAAGAGCCAGACACTACCAACAGCACTGATCACAATTGCTTCCAAATTCAAAACATGTAGTTTTTCTTTCCCTTGTCATCATTAAAAACAAAGCCCTCCTAACTCTGGTGATGTAAAAAGCACTTTTTCTTGTAGGAATGTTGTCACAGTGCTTGTTGCTAGCATCAAAGACTCCTTAGGGTCTGTCACTATCTGTTTGCCTGTCAATCATCAACAAATTGGCAAAAAAAAGTCCCTGAGTACCAGTAGCACTATCCAGTAGTCCTAAAACTGATAATATGAAAGATACTTTTTTCCTTGTAGGAATGTTGTCACAGTGCTTGTTGCTAGCATCAAAGACTCCTTAGGGTCTGTCACAATCTCCTCGCCTCTTAATCATCAACAAATTGGCAAAGAAAGTCCCTGAGTGCCAGTACTCCTAGAATTGGTAATATGAAAGATACTTTTTTCCTTGTAGGAATGTTATCACAGTGCTTGTTGGGAGCATCAAAGAGTCCTTAGGGTCTGTCACTATCTGCTTGCCTCTCAATCAACAACAAATTGGCAAAGAAAGTCCCTGAGTGCCAGTGGCACTATTCAGTAGTTCTAAAACTGATAATATGAAAGATCTTTTTTTCCTTGTAGGAATGTTGTCACAGTGCTTTTTGGGAGTATCCAAGACCCTAAGGGTCTGTCACAATCTCCTTGCCTCTCAATCACCAACAAATTGGCAAAGAAAGTCCCTGAGTGCCAGTACTCCTAGAATTGGTAATATGAAAGATACTTTTTTCTTGTAGGAATGTTATCACAGTGCTTGTTGCTAGCATCAAAGACTCCTTAGGGTCTGTCACTATCTGTTTGCCTGTCAATCATCAACAAATTGGCAAAGAAAGTCCCTGAGTACCAGTGGCACTATCCAGTACTCCTAGAACTGGTAATATGAAAGGTACTTTTTCCTTGTAGTGATAATGCCACAGGGCTTGTTGGGAGTATACAATACCCCTTAGGGTTTGTCACTATCTGCTTGCCTCTCAATCACCAACAAATTGGCAAAAAAAAGTCCCCAAGTGCCTGTAGCACAATCCATCTCATCATAAGCTGTCATAACATCACATTCACTAAAGGAAATGCTAAGATATCGCCCTGACATCTTTCTAACTGAGGCAGTTTGTTGATTTTTTTCTTCAACCGATTTGGGACTACCTCTCCCCTAAGAATTTCTGGGGAGACCCCTGCACTATCCGTCGCATCATAAGCTGTCATAACATCACATTCACCCAAGGAAAAAGCTAAGATAAGGAACTGTCTGTCACCCAGGCCTGATAGGAAGACGTACGTGCAATCACTTTCGCCCTGACATCTTTCTGACAGCGGCAGTTTCCTGGTATCGATTTTATGGCAGGTTACGACACGTCGGTCGTGGAACACATCCCTTTTTACGTCCCCGAACGGAATGTAGGCATTACTTCTGGATCAGGGTTCCTTACAAGACAATAAATCAGGCTTCTCACCTGTATGTTCAAGATCTTGGGCAAATCAGAATGCTGACCTACAACACTAACTTACTAAGCTTTTGTTGCACAGTTGTCAAAACAGTCACTGACTAAAAAATGATGGATTCTCTACCAATCCACATCTCTTTTTACATCCCCGAACGGGATACAGGCATTACTTCAGGATCAAGGTTCCTTACAAGACTATAAATCAGGAACCTCACCTATGTTCAAGATCAGAATGCTAACCTACAACACTAACTTACTAAGCTTTTGTTGCACAGTTGTCAAAACAGTCACTGACTAGAAAATGATGAATTCTCTACCAATCCACATCCCTTTTTACGTCCCTGAACAGAATACAGACATTATTTCTGGATCAGGGATTCTTACAAGACTATACATCAGAATCCTCACCTATGTTCAAGATCTTGAATGCTGACCTACAACATTAACTTTTGTTGCACAGTTGTTAAAACAGTCACTGACTGGAAAATGATGGATTGTCTACCAATCCACATCCCTTTTTATGTCCCCGGACGGAATACAGCCATTACTTCTGGATCAGAAGTAATATTTAAGACAAGATTATATATAAATTGGGATTCTCACCTAGTATGTTCAAGATCTTGCTCTAGGAAGGCAAAACCTGAACTCTAACCTTCAACACTAAGCTTTTGTTTAAAAAAAAAAAACGCCCACTTTTGATGTGTGACAAAATGCAAAAATGATGGATTCTCTGTCATATCCAACTTGCTTTCAAAAAAAAGGCACAAAAAACATGCAGGGAGAAGATACAGACCCTACCATTTTAAAAGTGTAACATTTACAGTAATAGCACCAGTTTTGCCTCTTTTTGTCTCCTACATTTTTGTTTGTTTTGCATCTTTCCGTTTCCAACTTTAAACTAAAGCAAGGAAGAGTATGGCAAATCATGATATGAATATTCCATTGGGTTATGAGAACCTTTCTACCAAGAAATATGAAGGCATCCAGACCACCATCCACCGACATGCATTAACAATCAGAACTTCATCATTTTTGTCGGTCTCATATTTTTTGACTTTTTGGCATCTTTCTGTTGCCAATTTTACACTCTGATCTAAATCAAGAAAGAGTTTGGCAAATTCTGCTGCTGTATGAATATTCAATTGGGTTATGAGGAACTTGCTACCAAGAAATATGAAGGCATCCCGACCACCATGCATTAACAATCAGAACTTCATCATTTCATGCCGATCCGGTAATTTCCGTGGCCTTTTGTCGACAATGACAGATGGTCGGTATAAGGTTGGGGTGATTTCTTTCCAACGTGGCGGGAAATGCGAGCGGTGATCCGAAAAGAACACTGCGCGCACTTGGGGGAGGTTTCATAATTACTCCACTAATCACGACGGAGATTACGAGAGACGGCAACGTACTTGGGATGATGGGGAATCGATATTTGAGAACCGTGGGACTTCTACAACTTTTCCTGCCTGTTGCGTTGACTTTGAATAACTGGGTGGTACCAAAAAATAAAGAGACCCCTCATGTAGCTTGTTTTGGTGTTATTTCAAATGCTTCAAGTGGACTAATGGGGAATCGATATTTGCGAACTGTGGGAGTTCTACAACTTTTCCTGCCTGTTGCTGAGACTTTGAATAACTGGGTGGTACCAAAAAATAAAGAGACCCCTCATGTGGTTTGTTTTGGGGTTATTTCAAACGCTTCAAGTGGACTAATGGGGAATCGATATTTGCGAACTGTGGGAGTTCTACAACTTTTCTGCCTGTTGCTGTGAACTAGCTATTTATGGGTGGTACCAAAAAATAAACCGTTACGTATGCTTGTTTTGGGGCTATTTCAAATGCTCCAAGTATGAAATGATGACAAAAAGTGCTAAGAAATTGCAGTTAATTTGAATATTAGACCATTGGAGCCTAAACAGAGCTAACTTATTCTAAGCTACCGAAACTAATTTCATCAGGTTAGTATTTTGCAGATGTTGTGAGGGGAGCTTCTGTCTTCTGCAAGCACACTGGAATGTATTCTCCTCTTCTAAGGAAGTGTGGCAGGTTCTTTAAGGTGTGTCTCTCCTTGAACAGGGAATCTTAGTGTAATCCCTTCTTATCCTCCACATCTACACAGTGTACTGACAAATTGGGGTCAACTTTACACCACAGGAATGGTTTCTAATTACCTGCCCATCACTTGGAAACCCTAAGACGTCGATTGTACACAATCTTAAAGACTAGAGAGGAAATTGAAGCTTGGAAAGCTTGGTCCTTGAGTATTTGATGGACATCGGCTATTAGTCCACATCAGGGAGACCTCATAATGTCACTTTTTTTACCTTCTAAATGATGACTTTTGAATCCAATCAGTGATAGACAATTAACAATTAGATTCTACTAGAAGGGCTCCAGAATTTGCCATCGATTATCCACATTAAAACCTATGGTTAGTGATATAATTTCTGATTTGTCAGATTTTGAAAAAAAAATTATGTTGACCTAAAAGTTTAGCACTAGTAGAGTTCCTCACTATACAATATAACTAAATTTGATCATACATAATTAAACAATATAACTAAATATGGTCATAGGTAGAGCTGTGTACCTAAACAAATTTTAGGTACAGGTACAGGTACAGGTACACAGGTTTAGGTACAGGTCCGGACCTGAACCTGTACCTGAACAATTCGACCAATTTATATGCTCTTCTGAACTCCTTCAATAACAAAAAAACATAAATAAACTTGATAGTTAAGGTTTATTCTTTGTTTATGGCGAATGCTCAGATAAAATATAGGCAAAACTAAGATGTTTTTGTTTTCATGAACACACTGTCCTTACACAGGCACCCATTGTTAACCAGCTATTTAAACATTTGAGGTCACAAATAGGCATAAAATTGGTGTGAAATTGTTTAGGTACAGTACCGGTACTGAGGGATTAGGTATTTTGGACCTGTACCTAATCAATTTTTCCGGTACAGTATCGGTACTGCGTACCGGTACACAGCTCTAGTCATAGGTAATTGTCATAGGCTGTGAGATTTAATCAGGTATTTCAATCAACAAAACTAAATTAACTGAATATTTAGATATTAATGTGATGCTTAGACTTAGACATGGTTGATTAAAATCTTTTTAAGACATAATAACTTTAGTAATTAGAATGTCTCTTTAAAATGATCGATCTGTTACTTATAGACAAATCTCAACTTCTTTGAGCAACGTGTGGAGAACTTCCTTACTAAGCCGATTGATTTTGGAATCATAAGTAACCATGGCCGATAAGAGAGCTGCTTAGCTAGAGCTTAGTAAGAATTATACCCCGAGCGAGCGAAGCTATCAGTTACAGTTAATGGGCGACTTTTAAGTCTTTTGTTCGCGTATTGATTCTGCCTGCTTCTTAACTGCCCTCCTATTAACAACTCAAGATGCGAGGCAGCAATTTTCATGTGACGGTGCAGATGAGAAGGGCTCTTCCACTAAATATTGAGGGAGGGTGTGCATACAAAAGCAAGGGATAATTATAAGTGGGTGTGACGAGATGACTGGCAAAAACAGAAATATCTTTAAGACTTCTTTTGCAACTCTGTTCTCTATTAATTCTTGTTGCCAAGAGGATAACTAAATTTTCAGTCAAATAATATGAAAAACAAGGTCAAAATTGTCATATACACACCCTTATAATTCCAAATGATCTCTAATCTAGGTGGCCTTTCTGTGCATTTTTTTTCCTTTGAACCAATTACAGAACACTACGTTCTTTCAAAGCTCCGCTAGTCTGATATCTGACATTTTCGCTGATCAATGTTAACATTATAAAATATTGCCCAAGAGGCTGTTGCATAGGCTAACATAACGGCCATTTAGAAGCCTGTACAAGGTGGCATTTCTGTCCATTTTCCTCCTTTTAACCGATTACAGAATACTTTGTTTTTTCAAAGCTCCTATCACCTGATATCTGACATTTTCGCTGATCAATGACAACGTTAGAATATTGCCCAAGAGGCTGCTGTGTACATGTGGGCTAACATAACAGCCATTTAGAAGCTCGAAGAAGGTGGCATTTTCCGTGTATATTTTTCCTTTTAACCAATTATTGGGCACTGATATCTTTCAAAGCTCCTCTAGTCTCATATCTGACATTTTCGATGATCAATGCCAAATTTATAAAATATTGCCCAAGAGGCTGTTGCGTAAGCTAACATAAGAGCCATTTAGAAGCCTAAACAAGGTGGCATTTCTGTACATTTTTTTTTCTTTTAATCAACTTTACAAAATACTACGTTCCTTCAAAGCTCCTATAGTCTCATATCTGACATTTTTGCAGATCAATGCCAAATTTATAAAATATTGCCCAAGAGGCTGTCATGTAGGCTAACATAACGGCCATTTAGAGGCCTGTACAAGGTGGCATTTCTGTGCATTGTTTTCCTTTCAGCCAATTACAGAATACTACGTTCTTTCAATGCTCCTTTAGTCTGATATCTGACATTTTTGCTGATCAATGCCAAATATATAAAATACTGCCCAAGAGGCTGCTGTGCACATGTAGACTAACATGTTAAAAACGGCCATTTAAAAGCCTGAACAAGGTGGCATTTCTGTTTATTTTTTCCTTTTAACCAATTATTGGGCACTGATATCTTTCAAAGCTCCTCTAGTCTGATATCTGACATTTTCGCTGATCAATGCAAACGTTACAATATTGCCCAAGAGGCTGCTGTGTACATATAGGCTAACATAACAGCCATTTAGAAGCCTGACCAAGGTGGCATTTCTTTGCATTTTTCTCCTTTTAACCGATTACAGAATACTACGTTCTTTCAATGCTCCTTTAGACTCATATCTGACTGTCGTGTAGGCTAACATAACAGCCATTTAGAAGGCTGAACAAGGTGGCATTTCTGTCCATTTTTCTCCTTTTAACCGATTACAGAATACTACGTTCTTTCAATGCTCCTCTAGTCTCATATCTGACATTTTTGCTGATCATGCCAATGTTAGAATATTGCCCAAGAGGCTGCTGTGTACATGTCGGCTAACATAACGGCCATTTAGAAGCCCGACCAGTCATAAACAGATCACGAATTTACGTGTGTTGTGTGTTGCCCCCCTCCCCGGTGGAATCTAGATCAATAAGTGATTAATGACCCCGCAGACATGATGAAAGAGTTCAAAGATCTAGTCGGACTTTCCGCCCACCGGGTCACACGACTCTTCGTGAAACGGCCTCCGTGTCCCATTCAAAATTCATGGCCTTGGCAATCCATCCATCAACGCATTAGCATTGCAATTTCACCGTCCTCAATGACATGCAGCGATCTGGTCAACAACCGAATATCACTGATGTTTTCTCCTGTGATCTCTCAGTCAGCTAAAGCTAGTGGATACTAGCTGAAACGTCTGACTGTTTCCAAAATCATATCCAGTTGCTTGAGTAACTGCTTTTTGGCATATCTTATTACCTAGATGTCTAACCTTCATCGACGTATCACTGATGTTGGTACACGATTATGTCTACAAGGAGTTTAATTGTTGAACAAAACTGCTACATTTATAGATCTTCGTAAAGCACAGCATTTTTTTTGGCTTGCCCCGCCAAATTTTCTATGAAATTTTATCTTCCTCATGCTGCGATCTGGTCAACAACTGAAGATCATATTGGTCTGCCATTTTGTCAACAAGGAGTAATTGTCCAACAAAACTGCTAGATCTAAATTCTGCCAATTCTTTTGTTTCCAAAATCATAACCCAATTGCTTGAGTAACTTTTTTGCATGTCTTGCTTCCTGGATGTCTAACCTTCATTGACACAGATTTTTTGGCTTAATCTCAAAGCTTGCCACTCCCAATTTTCTATGAGATTTCCTCTATTGTACACGTGCAAAAAAACGATGAGTATGCCCTGCTTCTTACAACAATCTCTGCTTTAGAGTCAGCAGTTTTCCCTTCCAGATTATATCGATGCAAAATTGGTCCTGACAACTTTGTCCCTGCTCAATATCAACCTTTCAGAAGCTTACACAAAGGTCCGCTCCCCATTACGATTGCATGTTTGTAGGATACAGAGGTTGCTACTTTTGCCTCAACACTTGGATTGGGTTTGACACTGCAGTCTGCTGCTATTAGTGCTAACTCCACTCAGTGGTGAAAGCATTTTAGCTCTGTAATTTTTTCATTAACTGTTCATTTTCTGTAAAGTGGTATTGAAGAATCCTGAAGTTTGGGGGAAAACGTCTGAATACCTTTAAAGTTTGTTAAGTCTGCTTTTTAAGTCCTTTGGACTAAATTTTATGAAATGGACAATTTGAAACCTTTAAAAACAATTTCCTACATTTGGAGAAGAAAATCATGGTGTTGAGAGAAGTTGGTGGTGGTCGTTTTGATGATTTTACATTTCTACCGAAGATTTTTGTCAATTAACATTTTCTTTCGAAATTTTTCCCTCACATGCCACAAAGTTCCTGCAATTAACAGAAAAACAGGTGCTGGCAAGAGCCTCAAAAACCCTTTATAAAAACTTGACACCTACCGTAAACGGTCACCCTGGCGGTAACGCTCCTGCGTTTGGTGACAATGTTCTTCGCCACACACGTGTAATTAGCGGTGTCGGACAGTCGAGCCTGGTTAATTATCAGGTTCCCCTCGTTAGTAATGATGAAGTTGATGTCCAGGTCCACCTGTAGAAATTCATTTAGTCTAATTAATTAATCAATCAATTAATTAATGACCTCTTTTCCTTAGACACTCAGCACGTAAAATTTTGGGCTAACTTTGCAAGTAAATAGGTGGTCATAATGTATTTTACAATGTATGTAAGAGGACTCCAGGATGCATAGTGGTTGTATTGTCACTAACTGGAGATTCCTTAACTAGCTATGCTTAACCCTAGTCATTTTGGCATTTTTCTCACAACATTTTTCAATTAATGCATGTCTTAATTAGATCAAACACCCCTGACTTTTTTTGCCCTGCGGTGGCGTAATTACTTCCGCATTCGTTTCGTTTCTGCGGTGTGATGCATTGCACGAGAAATACCCCCAAATCGTACCTACAACATGTATACAGTGTGCTATATAGACGGTACTGTGTATGCAACCAAACAATTGTTGGGCACCGCAGGACTAGGATTTTAATAAACAAACAAGCAAATAAACAAACCTGGATCTCCTCATCGTTCTTCAGCCACACCACCTCGGGTGTCGGCACGCCCTCTGGTGGGCGGCATTGGAGTTGCACCGGTGTCTCATTGGGGACCCCCTGGCTGATGGGCTCCAGAATAAAATCTTTTCTGAGATCTGAAAGGTAAAAAAAAAGCAATTTTCAAATTAAGTACTTTAGTTTAGTTTACTTCATTGAGGATGCAACAAGGCATGACATGTGGTAGAAAGGCAGCAACAAGGCTGGTAGCGGCTACCAACTGATTGAGAAAACACACACACACAAAAATATTTCTGAGATCTGAAAGGTAACAAAATGGCAATTTTCAACTAAAATACACCCGTTTCAAAGAAAACAATATAATATACTGCATATGGTCATAGCAGTAGCATTGATCAACCTAAAGAAAGCAAAAAGCTTCCTTGAGTCTAGACTACATGTAGGTTAGTGTTCGAGTACTCTTTATTATAAATCAATCATCACAGACGAGCTTAAATTTTCTTCACACCTTGCAAAAGTAACACAAGTGTACAGTACTGACAAAAATTTCAGATTTCACAATCTAGAGAGAGGTAACACTTAGAGTTAGACCTACTAGTTTCTATGCTCATTCATTGCTTCATGATCATTATATTTATCTCAACACATCTTGCATATACATAATATATGCAGATGCAACAAAGCCACCGCAATTGCTTCAGAGGTGGTGGGACAAAATGACTGCAAACTCCCTCCCCTTCCTCAATACAACAGCTGCGCGCACGTACGCGTGCCAATTTGGCGCACATTATCAGAAGATGACAATCGTGCCTGCTTGCGGCGATATTAATACCCCGGCGCCTTGGCCCATTGTTTAAAGCCAGACAACTCCTCCCTTGTCGGAGCTGTGTAAAAAGGATACAGGGACAGAAGCAGGGCTCGAAATTGCCCTTTCAATTTCTTTATTGCACTATTTCAAATGTACATCAGCAGGGGGAGAATAACTACTACCCCCTGAATTGAGTACCATTTGTCACATAGAAAAAGAATTTAGAGACAATACATGGACATCTAAATAAGGTATATACAAAGACATATACAAAGTAATTAAAATACACACAAAGTCCATACTGATTTTGAAGTACAGGAAAGACTGCTGCAATCGTTAAAGATGGTCCGGTGGACCACTAAAATTTAGGCTGGGACAACTAAAAAGACACTTTGGGACAATTTTGGGACAATAGAAAATAGCAAATCAACATCAGAATGTCTGTTTGTTTATCAAATTATGTCATGGCTTTTGGATCCAGAAAAGTCCACCCAAATTTCCTGTCTGCTCTGCAATTATAGTGTGCCTGGGAGTGAACATAGGACTTCAAGTTGTTGTCATACATAATTTTTTTTCTTTTTATTCCCCATAACGGGGGTTGGATGTGCTTCCAACAAATGCAACTCCTTTTTTGGAGCAAGATTTTTACGGCTGGATGCCCTTCCTAACGCCAACCCAAACCCTAGTTGAAATTAATTCGTTGGACAGTGCTGGGACAACAGGAAGAAAAGTTCATTTCGAGGCCTGGACTGTAGGCTCTACGGGTGGCACTTATTAACTTTGTACACGGAGACTTACGGTGATAAATCTCGTTGTCTGCGGTGAAAAATTGCTCCACTGGCGCCAGGATCTTAACTCAGACTTTATGGCACGTCATAAAAAAGAGAAGGTGGCTGAACAGATAAAGGATACAGCACGGCTTTGAACGGAGCGGGAAAAAGACGCATTCAGAACCGCCAAGTCAACCTTTTAATGATGAATTGTCGCTATTCATGGAATTTATGAACAGGCTACAGATGGTAGCTTGCTGCAGCAGGCTTCCTAGGAACACAATTTTTCTTGGAGGTGCAGCGATCATTAATCAACCGACTCCTTGGAGGCAATCTCGGAGGGTGAAGATTTCGAAATGAAGAATCTACGAGGGCCCGCGCACGACATCAAATATTCAGAGGACTATTTAGGCTCGTAGTAATGACTATTAAACCGGTAATTTGTTTCCGGGGGCGCAATAAATTCTGGCGCTTCTTCAGTGCTCTGGATTTGGTGACAGCGAGAGTAGATTTCTACCCTAACACTTCAGGGTTCTAGCTAGCGCAAAGTTAGCTATAATTTTGACCCCCTATGCTAAATCCCCCCCCCTACGCTATAATTTTAACACCCTATGCTAAATTTTCAATACAGCATAGGGGCATTGTGACTGTATTTCTTTTTTCAAGAATGCCAGATCAAATGTGAAAAATTACCAATCAAGGATACATTGCACATACATTAGAAATAACATTTTTTCCCTTTGGGTATCCCTCAAATGTGCAAAGATTGAGTGTAACAAGCCATTCGGTGTGATATAGCTAGCTGCCGCCACGCCGCGTGCCTGCGAAGCTGGTGTGTTACGCCGAAGGGCGGTTTTACCGGCTATACCGATACAGAAATGGCCCCCTTTTTTAGCTCAATTTTTTAAAAGCTACGCCCCATCCTCCCTTGACTTGCGGCCAGTACCACTATGCTAAAATTAAATCCTAGCTAGAACCCTGCACTTCATGAAGGAGGGAACTTCTGTTACCGGGATCGCGGCATGATTAATTGCGTTGTCGTAGTGCTGTTAAGATATACTCCACGGTGCTGCGGTGTCCGTCCTAATTTCATGGCGGGCGCCCCCACCTCTAGGCCGATCGGTTACACTCGATCAATTAACGGGTAAACATTTACAAAATGAACAGCTAGGAGGGAGACGTGACGGACGTTCGTGCTTCGAGGCAGAGGCTGGAAGGAATGACAAT